TTTTAAACATTTTTTTCTGCAACTCATCCTCCAAAGAAGTCTCCATATTGTATCTGCAGATGATCCAAGAAATGTATCCACCGAGGACATAGAGGGCAAAAGACCGTCTCCACTTCAAACTGAATAATATTGACCTAAACCTCTGGTTTTATATAGCAAGCACATTTCAACTAATGAAACAGTTTTCCGTAGTATCCTGGTATGTGTTATGACCAGGCATGAGTGGTGAGGTTTATAAGATAAGCTTTGTGACTGGTTGATGAAGGATAATGCACACCACTGCACATGGAATGTAACATCTCCACGCAGGTGACAATTTACAGAAAATTATACTTTTACTTTGTTTGCATATTATCAACAGCTATTTTTTTTTAAGAGTAGAGATCCCCAATACCATTGAAAGATTGCAATATGATGCAGTGTTTTTTATTCCAACATTGGGACCAATTATGTGATTGGCGCAAAGCCAGAATGTCCCATTCAGAATTTGTTCTGAAAAAGCACTTTACTATATTGGCATTCTTCAACAGCAACAGACAAATGGAAGAAATCAAAAACCTTATTAAAACAGAACTGATTGGAGCAGTATGGGTCGGATGTCACCATTATGACATCCGTGTCTGTCCGTTTTTTCCCTTCACCTTGCGATGGAGGAAAAAACTGAAACGATCGGACCCATGTTGGTATATAGGGAATCGTATATAAACGAAGATGTGTCTGTGTAGTATCAGGGGTGATCTGATGTCAACAATCAGGTCTGACAAAATGTAACACTGCTCTGTTTGTTTTTGTGGACCTGACCGGAGCCGGGGGAAAACGGATGTAACCGGACACCCGTCTGTTTAGATACGGCTGCCCATAGACTAGCATTGGGCATCAGATTGGGTCCGCCTGAAAAACTGGCAAGCAGACCTGATCGGACCATCCATCTGAAAGAGGCCTTATAGTACATGTCAGGACAAAATGCAAAAAACATATGCAGTACATCTTTGCAATACATGCACATTTCCCAATGTTTTATCATTTTTAGGACCTTGGAAGTATAGACAAATACCCATTGATCTCCCAGAAAGTCACTCAGCTCCTAATGCCTGGTGTGAGCTGAAAACTCAGTGGGGGGAACTTATCAAAACTGGAGCAGACAGAATCTGGAGCAGTTGCCCATGGCAACCAATCAGCATCTCTCTTCAGTTTGCTCAGGTAAGATTTGAAAACGACAGATAAGCTGATTGGTTGCAGTGCAAATCTGCTCCAGTTTTGATAAATTACCCTCACAGAATTTTGTGGAGTGGTGTCAGCCCTGCCCAGTTTTCTTGTCCAAAACTACTCAGACCCTCCCACTCCTAGCACCCTAACAAAGGCTATTCATTTTGTAGTCCTAAGATGAGAACTAGTTGGGCTAATTACGCTCCTTGAGATAACACAGGAAGTGCACGCAGGACAGCTCTGAATTTCTGATATGATCAACAGATAATAATATTATACAGGACTTATACAGTGGCAACAGTATGACAAAAAACTTAATTGTATACAATTTATCAAACCAAAAGAGAACATATAAAGGTTAGGGTTCAGGTCACGGATATCTGACCTAGATTATTTTTTCCCTCAAAAAGAAAGTTTAGCAAAACATACAAATGAGTTCCACTGGTATGGGTGTGCAATGTTTGCTCTAAATAAAGCTGAGGTTACATTCACTTTCGTATATCTACTAACAATGAATTGGAAAAGCCTTTTATTAAAATAAAAATATTGAATTTGTATAACAGTAGAATATTTATCATCATATTAAAGTCCATGCACAAATATTATATTAAAGTCAATCCCTTGCTAAAGGCCAAGCAAAGGGAACATTTACTGATTATACAGCACGTTAGGAAAGACACCAAAGATTTAGCAGTGGTATTTGGCAGATAACCAACAATGAATCACATGAAAGTACTCAAGGACATCTCATGATAGTCTGCAGCATTTATCAAACACAAATTATGATCATCCAACAGCTCTAAACCTGTCCTTAGCATCTGGATTCCACACATGTCTAGAACAGGCAACTTGGCATAGGCACAGAAAGCAAAATGTGCTCAAAGATGAAGAATTGTAATTGAGCTTTCAAGCACTAAAGATGCCTCTTCCTCTGTGTAGGTCCAGTCACTCGTTATAGACAAGCATTGTTTTTCATGTCACCATGCAGAAATGTAATCTCTATGGCAGTGGTTCTCAACCTTTCTAGGGCCGGGACCCCTTGGTAACATTTGCCAAGTTGTGGTGATCCCCATCGGTAAAATTTAGGGATGACGCGGCTGCTGCAGCGACATCTGGCGGCGTGGCGGGAGAACTGACACTGCTGCGCTAGGAGAGGGCTGAGGAGGACTCTCACCTAGCACAGCAGAAATCACACAGCGACCCACAGGTTGAGAACCACTGGCGTACGCCGTCAGAATAAAAAAAGCTAGCTATGCATTCCTATGGTGTTTTTTTCTGACTTACGGCGCCCCCCGATGTCAGAAAAAAAAAAAAGATCACAGGGAAAGGTTTACTCTGCTTGATCAAGCAGAGTAAACCTTTCCGGGAGAAAGTGTTTCTCTCCCGGGCGGCCCCCGGGGATAGCGGGAAACTCCCGGGCGACCCCTGGCAAATAGTCATTGGACCCCCGACGGGGTCGCGACCCAAAGGTTGAGAACCGCTGCTCTAGAGTGAATACATGTATTGCCACTCGATGGCTATATACATCCTGAAGGTTTTTAGTACTTAAAATGCATTCAGCTGGTAAAGGGGCAATCAGCACTGACATCTGTGCACACCATGAAGACCAGAAATAGCCTCCATGTCTACCAATGACCACCATGCAACAGAAGCTAAGAAATGTTTAGACAAAAGCAGGTTATGGAGATCTTAAAAACATTGTCAGACCATCCTATCAAGTAAGGTATTTTGCAAACATCTAAATAAATACACAGATGAAATACATATGAGGGAGGGATCTGTTTTACCCACAAAAGGTTTTGGTATTTACAGAGATCTGTCACACAACGCAGCCAGGAGGGAGGGCGATAACACTGTTACAGATAAAGTACACCAGCAAATATATCTGTGAAAACCTTGGATAGAGTAGGGAAGGGTAAGGGCCTCTGTCTGGTTTTCATTGCTGTCTGTGTCCCCTTCAAAAAAAGATTCACCCTCAGTGCATCTGAGCCCGTGCCGACTTTCCCGGTCCACCTACAGCGGATGACAGCGCCTCTGTCTGCTCTGACTCTCCTCCTCCTCTCAACTGTTTCTTGGACATGAGGACACCCTCACCCTGAGGTCCACCAACCACCCTCCCTCCCTCTGCACAACGTTGCCAAGATACCAGGCCACCTCCACGCCTCCAACCCACCACAGTATCCCCTTCGACGCTGATATCGTCACACACCAAACTTTATGGCAAGTACAGAATTCACAATTTATTACACCCGCTTGCACACTTCGGAACCTTGTCATTTGCTTCCCTCCCACATCGGTTTCCAACCGGGATCCCACGCAAAGACCAAGACCGCCCACCGACCTGTGTGACGCCCGCCCACTTCCATGACAAGACACCACGACCACACCATCAGAAGTGGCCCACCATAAAACATCCTCCAACCCCACCAGAAGTGGTCACCACCACCGCACTTTTACTCCTCATCACACGTAAGTGTTTTACACCACCTCACATCCAGTTACCCTGATTCACCCACCATCCTTTATTACTCCCCTTCCACACATTTAAAGCCAGGCAGTCACGCTCCTGCTCCCTTTCTTTGTTCAAAGTGATTCTCCACCTGATGACCACTGTCACAGGGAGAGAACATGAGAGGAAATGCAAAAGTTTACAGTCGTCACCAGAGCAAGAGTAAAAGGTGATATCTTCCCACGGGGGCACTTGTTCTAGTGACATCTAACAAAGGTGGAATATCCCCTCGTTTTGGGAGATTTCCACTTTTCTGTGGTCCTAGAGAATATGAATTGCAGGGAAATCTAAATGATGGGGCAAAACACAGAAATTAAAATTTGAAAGACTAAGTTCTGAAACACTTTAAAGAATACATTGATGCTCCCTGCCCCCAGCCCTGACTGCACCACAAAAGAGCAGCAGTAGACTGAATGGTATTTTCTACTGTCAGTTTATTCCTTGTCAGGGCTTCTTCATGAAGTGCATTTGATTGGCTGCTCACCAGGTCAAACTCAAACAAGTCGCATTAGTTGAATAAAAATCTTGATTTACATTGAATGAATTATTAAACACATAGATGCAATGATTTGTGTCTTTTATACCTTTCTGGAATTTGGCTTTAAAGAATAATTATACTTTGAACTGACACGTGTGGTTCGATACTTTCTTCTCTGCAGTGAACTGACTAACTCCCACACAGAATTATCCAGATGAAGCACTCATCATCACCCTTTAGGGCCCCTTCAGATTGACATGCATTACTGCAATGCAGAATGGCAAACATGAGTGAACAGGCATTTGTTAATGCAGTGGGTATATCTGAATGGGCCATTCAATTTGAATGGCACCCCAACACACCTCCTGGGCACAATGTACGCCGCCGTAGTGCAATGTGCGGTACAATACCATGCATTGTGGTGGAAAAAAAGTAGTGCATGCATTACTTTTCCACAACATTACATGGTATTGCAGTACCGCACTTTGCGCTGCGGTGGAGCACAATGAAGCCGGGAGGTGTGTGGGGTGCTAATCAAATGAATGACAACTGCAACACTAACTTACGGTAGGGTGTACTGCGCGATAGTGTGCGTTAATCGCACAGTGCTGCACAAAAAAAGAACCACAGTGTTGTGAACGGGCCCCTTAGGGAAGGCCTATATTTTTGTGTTTTTGATGGGGGTGGGATGAATTTTGGGAAAATTTGTCCAGGCCTATATATGCTTTTAGTTTATGTAGAAATCAGATCTGATATTCTGACAGACAACCTTGAATAAAACATAATTTTTATGTCATTTACCCTTACCTGTTAAAAAGGTGATTTGTCACCTTAATTTTTGAATTGGCTTTAAAATCATCTGGCAAGAGCATCACTGGAACTGGAACTTGATTGAGTTCATTGATCTAAAAAAGAAAAAACCCAGACATAAGAAAGTTACCCTGTGAAGACAAGAAGTTTAGAAGAAATGATATGATTAGCACCCCTACAACCAGCGTCATATCATACCTCAGTGCAGAGGAAGGTATTCTGCTTTAATAAAAAGGTAGAACACTGACTTTAGAATACTCTATAAGAAACACGTTGCTTATGCTGGCCTTCTCCTGAACATGCATATCTGTCTTTGACTTCAATCTCTCACAAGCTTGCAGCTATTTTATTTCAATTGCTTTTATGTTGTCAAAAGGAGATTTTCTACACCCTTCCCCCCACCCCTCCAAAATGCATACAGATCAGAATTTCTGAATTTTCTTTGCCTTTCCCAATCTGCATTCTTATTCCGGGTCCGTAAAAGAGCCTAAAAAAACACTAAAGTAGAATTTCTAGGAGGTGGTCAGCAATGGAAGCCCCCATACATATACAATGAAAGGTTTACATTAACATACTTCTCAACAGCTTTAGAGATTATGTAACCCAAAATTAGCATATGAGACATGAATAGCTCTATTGTTGGGAAAGAAAAAAAACATGTTTTAAAGTCATTTTCTGAATATGGACAGACGTCATTGGTAAGCACTAAAAAGGAATCAGAAAACCCCACGAAAAGACCAGATACGCACCACTAGCTCCGAGTTATGAATTACTCAGTTGCCTCCCATTATGCCCCTGTGATTTTCTTTTTGTTTTGCTTTGGAAAACAGCAAGATTATTTTTGCTGGATGGACATTGCAGGGAGATGGCTAATAGGCGAAAGGAAAAATTACAAACACATTACACAAAAAGGGCAAGGCTGCACAATGAGCTAGCATGGAAAAATGCTTTTCAACAAGACCATTACAGCGTCACAAATTAAAGGGACACTAAACTCAGGAGGTAAATCTAAAATGCGGGAGGAGAACGCTGTGAGTAGCCGGCGTCTCTCCTCCCCGCACCGCTCAGCCTCCTGTCACAGATCAGAGCAGAGCGGGCGGAGACAGCTTGCAGCGCTGTCACAGGAGGCTGGTTGGGGTGGTGCAAGAGGAGAGCTCAGCCTCCTGCGACAGCGTATCAGGAAGGAGAGCAGTACAAACACTCATCGATCAGTGATTGCTTAGTGTAAATAATTGAGGACATAGTATGGTTACTATATCCTCAATTATGAATGAATGGAAGTGATCTACATCACCTCCTGTTTATTCATGATTGCGGTTATAGTAAACATACTATGTTCTCATGTTATGAATGAACAGGAACACTCAGCATAGATGATTCCTGTTCATTTACAACGGGGACTGCAGAAAAAGACATTGAGGACCTTGTCCTCAATCTCTTTATCTATTTTAAAAAGGAAATATCAGGGGTCTGTTTAGACCTCTGATATTTCCCCAAAGCCCCAACAATAAAAGTAAAAAATTAAAATATTTAATAAAAATGGAAAAAAAGTTAGAATAAAAAACATTTTTGGTTTCGGCCTAACTTTTTTTTCCATTTCAGTTTTGACATTTTCATTTCAGTGCACCTCTAAAAACATACCTGACCCATCAAGGAATGGACTCCAGGAGACCTCTGAAGGTGTGCTGTGGTATCTGGCACCAAGCCGTCAGTAGCAGATACAGATGTGGCCTCCGTGGATTGGACTTGGTATTTCCAGCACATCCTTCACATGCTTGATTGGACTGAGATCTGGAGAACTTGCAGGCCAAGCCAACACCTAGAACTCATTGTTGTGTTCCTCAAACCATTCATGAAGCATTTTTGCAGTGTGCATTGGCAACTGGCATCAGGGAATACCATTTCCATCAATGTGTGCACTTGGTCAGCAACAATGCTTAGATAGGTGGTACATATCAAAGGAACATCCATATGAATGGCAGGACCCAAAATTACCCGGCAGAGCAATGTCCAAAATCATCACACTGCTTCTGCCGGCTTGCCTTCTTCCCATAGTGTATCACAGTAGCATCTCTTCCCCAGGTAAGCGACACACAAGCCACCCAGCCATCCACACGATGTAAAAGAAAACGTGATTCCTCAGACCAGGCCACCTTCTTCTATTGCTCTGTGGTGCAGTTCTGATGCTCATGAAGGTGCTTCTGGCGGTGGACACGCATCAGCATGGGCTCCCTGACCGGTCCCATACACAACAAACTGTGATGCACTGCGTGTTCAGACACCTTTCTATCAGAACCAGCATGAACTTTTTCAACAATTTGAGCTACCGTAGCTCTTCTATTGGACCAGACTACATGGGCCACCCACGAACCTGTCACCAGTTAACTGGTTTTCCTTCCTTGGGTCACTTTTGGTAGGTCCTGACCACTACAGACTGGGAACATTCCACAAGAGCTGCAGTTTTGGAGTTGCTCTGACCCAGTCGTCTAGACATCACAATTTGGCTCTTGTTAACCCCTTCGTGACTGACGACGTACAGTGTACGTCGCCAGCATCGGGGCTGTTTAAACAGACTCCCGGTGACTTTTGCCGCCGGGACTCTGTTTAAACTTGTAGAGCCGACTGTCGGCTTTACAACAGAAGCGATCCTGGCGACTTACCTGTCGCCAGATCGCTTCTGCGTCCCGAAGAAGGGGCCGCAACATGGGTGCAAAAATGGAAAAAAGGGCCTCAGTCATGAAGGGGTTAAAGTTGGCACCCACTTCCAGGTGCCATAATAATGAGATAACCCATGTTATTCACTTCACCTCTTACTGTTTTTTTTACATTGGTCCAGTTTGTCCCTGCTACAGCCACTATGCTGAGAAACTTCCCAGCGCTGTAAAACAGTCACTCTCAGTGACTTTGGCAGCCAGAGGACACCTAGTAGTATAATAGGTTAAATGTGTTTTAAAAAAAGTGCACCCGGCGTGATAAATCCCTAACACTAATGTAATGTGTTCAGTGGAGCTGTGGCCAGGCGTGATCCACAGAATGGTATACCGACAGGGCACACTACAACAGTCCCAGCATGGTGTGGAATGGTATACCGACAGGGCACACTACAACAGTCCCAGCATGGTGTGGAATGGTATACCGACAGGGCACACTACAACAGTCCCAGCATGGTGTGGAATGGTATACCGACAGGGCACACTACAACAGTCCCAGCATGGTGTGGAATGGTATACCGACAGGGCACACTACAACAGTCCCAGCATGGTGTGGAATGGTATACCGACAGGGCACACTACAACAGTCCCAGCATGGTGTGGAATGGTATACTGACAGGGCACACTACAACAGTCCCAGCATGGTGTGGAATGGTATACCGACAGGGCACACTACAAAAGACCCAGCATGGTGTGGAATGGTATACCGACAGGGCACACTACAAAAGACCCAGCATGGTGTGGAATGGTATACTGACAGGGCACACTACAAAAGACCCAGCATGGTGTGGAATGGGATACTGACAGGGCACACTACAACAGTCCTAGCATGGTGTGGAATGGTATACTGACAGGGCACACTACAACAGTCCCAGCATGGTGTGGAATGGTATACCGACAGGGCACACTACAAAAGACCCAGCATGGTGTGGAATGGTATACCGACAGGGCACACTACAAAAGACCCAGCATGGTGTGGAATGGTATACCGACAGGGCACACTACAAAAGACCCAGCATGGTGTGGAATGGTATACTGACAGGGCACACTACAAAAGACCCAGCATGGTGTGGAATGGTATACTGACGGGTATCACTGCTCCTGATAATAATATAACACATAGCTGCCGAGGGCAGGAAAGTCTAATCTAAAGAGCACTCCCCTAACATGACAGAAGAAACATTCCACAACAGGATGACAATAACTGGACCCGATAAAGCAGAGTGTGTCAGCTGTCATCCAGTAGAGAGAATTGCAGGTTCTGATGATACATAGGCCATGTAAAGTATAGCGTGTTCTGGAAGTAACACTGCCGCCTCTTTGTAGTAAACACATTGCAGCCCTCCTCTCGTTATTAAATGTGTCCACAGGTCCATGTACCGGAACCGTACCTGTATGAGAATCACACATGTGTAGACGCCGGCAGTAGAGATCAGGGTGATGAGAAAAGCTCATGTCCTGGAACATGAAAGTAAACAGATCAGACAACAACAGGGAGGTTGAGTGATCACTGTGAGGGGAATGGTTCCAGAGCTGTGAAAGTATCAGACAGCAGCACATGTTGGTGCACACATGTAGAACCAGAAGTCCCAGCATGCCTGCACGGTGCCCAGCCCAGAGCACACCATGAGAAGTGAAGTTACAGGGGAAGCATCAGCAACAAGTGTGACATAACCGGGGTGAGGGGCACACACTGACTCAGGCTGGCAGGTGGGAGGGAAGGCGTCCCTTGTCCCCTCCCCCCCAGCCTAGGGGTGCCAGTTAGGGCCTTACCGAGTGGTTGACTCCCCACATGAAGACGCTGACGAGCTGGTCGCTGGCTCGGAACACCTTCACCTTCTGCTGCACGAAGTGTTTCTTCTTCGTCTTGGTCTTGGCAGAGGTGGCGGGCAGGATTCCCACAGCCGCAGAGGAAGCAGCGGGCATAGAGGCGGAGGAGGACATTTCACCGCTGCCCCCTATCCTCCTCCTTCAGAGCCAGACGTCCGCTCCCCCACTGGCCTCTGCCGCCTCTCTCCGCCCCGCCCAACTCACCTGAGCGAGCGGCGCGCCTGCGCAATAGAATTCCGCTGCCGCCGCCCCGCCGGGCTCACGGGTCATGTGACCTCGGGGCAGTGGAGCGGAGCAATGACAGTGTGTTTGTGTGTTGGGTTTGGTGCACAGAAGTCTGACACACACGGCATATACAGTACCCTACAGGGGCTCTGACACACACACGGCATATACAGTACCCTACAGGGGCTCTGACACACACACGGACTATACATTACACTACAGGGGCTCTGACACACGGAATATACATTATACTGTACAGGGGCTCTGACACACGGCATATACATTACACTAATGTGTTGTATCTGGTATACAGGGGCTCTGACACATAATACATTACACTGAGGTGTTGCATCTGGTATACAGGGGCTCTGACACATAGTACATTACACTGAGGTGTTGTATCTGGTATACAGGGGCTCTGACACATAGTACATTACACTGAGGTGTTGTATCTGGTATACAGGGGCTCTGACACATAGTACATTACACTGATGTGTTGTGTCTGGTATACAGGGGCTCTGACACATAATATATTACACTGAGGTGTTGTATCTGGTATACAGGGGCTCTGACACATAGTACATTACACTGAGGTGTTGTATCTGGTATACAGGGGCTCTGACACATAATATATTACACTGAGGTGTTGTATCTGGTATACAGGGGCTCTGACACATAATATATTACACTGAGGTGTTGTGTCTGGTATACAGGGGCTCTGACACATAGTACATTACACTGAGGTGTTGTATCTGGTATACAGGGGCTCTGACACATAACCGCCCCGCCGGGCTCACGGGTCATGTGACCTCGGGGCAGTGGAGCGGAGCAATGACAGTGTGTTTGTGTGTTGGGTTTGGTGCACAGAAGTCTGACACACACGGCATATACAGTACCCTACAGGGGCTCTGACACACACACGGCATATACAGTACCCTACAGGGGCTCTGACACACACACGGACTATACATTACACTACAGGGGCTCTGACACACGGAATATACATTATACTGTACAGGGGCTCTGACACACGGCATATACATTACACTAATGTGTTGTATCTGGTATACAGGGGCTCTGACACATAATACATTACACTGAGGTGTTGCATCTGGTATACAGGGGCTCTGACACATAGTACATTACACTGATGTGTTGTATCTGGTATACAGGGGCTCTGACACATAATATATTACACTGAGGTGTTGTATCTGGTATACAGGGGCTCTGACACATAGTACATTACACTGATGTGTTGTATCTGGTATACAGGGGCTCTGACACATAATATATTACACTGAGGTGTTGTGTCTGGTATACAGGGGCTCTGACACATAGTGCATTACACTGATGTGTTGTATCTGGTATACAGGGGCTCTGACACATAATATATTACACTGAGGTGTTGTGTCTGGTATACAGGGGCTCTGACACATAGTACATTACACTGAGGTGTTGTATCTGGTATACAGGGGCTCTGACACATAGTACATTACACTGAGGTGTTGTATCTGGTATACAGGGGCTCTGACACATAATATATTACACTGAGGTGTTGTATTTGGTACACCGGGCTCTGACACATAATGAGGGAGGTGGTGCAGACATGATGGATAATGTACACGGTCCCTGGGTGGGAGGAGTCTCCGTTGCCTGGCACAGTGTGGGGATGACAGCTCCTCCCACATTATAGAGGGCGGCTGCCATAAGAGAGATGTGTGGGCCGCCATTGCTGATATCCTTGTGAAGCTGTCAGCTCCTCCCCTTCTATGGCTGCTGTACTTATCGCTTCCCAGAACCAGAACATAGTTGCAGCAGGTCCGAGCTTCTCATGTACATGTCTCACACTGATTGGTAAAGCTGAGTATGCTATCAGTACCATTTCTGTGTACTCCTCAGAGGAGGGGAAGGTGACCGTCACCATGGTATGTGGCGGCGTCACCCACTCCTGTAACATCCTTCCCAGGAGATGGGCCCGGTGTGCTGTGAGGGATATGTACCACCCTTTTCTTTGTAGCCACGTGTACCCTGCAGGTGACAGGGTGGTGCAGTGACCATGTGTACCCTGCAGGTGACAGGGTGGTGCAGTGACCATGTGTACCCTGCAGGTGACAGGGTGGTGCAGTGACCATGTGTACCCTGCAGGTGACAGGGTGGTGCAGTGACCATGTGTACCCTGCAGGTGACAGGGTGGTCCAGTGACCAAGTGTACCCTGCAGGTGACAGGCTGGTCCAGTGACACACAGTGACCATGTGTACCCTGCAGGTGACAGGGTGGTCCAGTGACACACAGTGACCATGTGTACCCCGCAGGTGACAGGGTGGTCCAGTGACACACAGTGACCATGTGTACCCCGCAGGTGACAGGGTGGTCCAGTGACACACAGTGACCATGTGTACCCCGCAGGTGACAGGGTGGTCCAGTGACACACAGTGACCATGTGTACCCCGCAGGTGACAGGGTGGTCCAGTGACACACAGTGACCATGTGTACCCCGCAGGTGACAGGGTGGTCCAGTGACACACAGTGACCATGTGTACCCCGCAGGTGACAGGGTGGTCCAGTGACCAACAGTGACCATGTGTACCCCGCAGGTGACAGGGTGGTCCAGTGACACACAGTGACCATGTGTACCCCGCAGGTGACAGGGTGGTCCAGTGACACACAGTGACCATGTGTACCCCGCAGGTGACAGGGTGGTCCAGTGACAATGTGTACCCCGCAGGTGACAGCGTGGTCCAGTGACACACAGTGACCATGTGTACCCCGCAGGTGACAGGGTGGTCCAGTGGCCAAGTGTACCCCGCAGGTGACAGGGTGGTCCAGTGACCAAGTGTACCCCGCAGGTGACAGGGTGGTCCAGTGACCATGTGTACCCCGCAGGTGACAGCGTGGTCCAGTGACACACAGTGACCATGTGTACCCCGCAGGTGACAGGGTGGTCCAGTGACACACAGTGACCATGTGTACATCCCTAATTTGTTATTGCAACTAGTTGTTCTATTTGTATTGTATACACAGGTACAGTGTGCACCAATCGTAGCTAGAGAGGAATACAATGTGAGTTTTATGAATATGTCCATGAGTACACCATAAAAGCCCTAAAAAGCCTTTCTAGTTCATTGCTGTAAGTTTGAATGGTTTTAAATAAATGTATTCTGACATACTGCACTATGGGAAGCCTTTTGTTCTCTCTCGGAGCACAAGAGAAGGTAGAAGATGGAGGAATAGTGTTACACGATTTTGGGAGGAATCTACCCCAATTTATTGTCGGATTAAAAACAAAGGAGAGGATTTGGTTCTATATATATATATATATCAACAAAGCGCTAATTGTTCATCTGAAATATGGTGAGCAATAGGAGTCGGTGAGTGCGGCCAGATCTTATCTTTGAGCACGGTGGAGACTGGAGAGCACTGATTCACTAAGGGGTCTATTCACAAAGCTGCCGAAGGATCTAGCCATAGCTTCGGCCGATCCTTCGGCTGGCTTCGGCCCCAGGACCCCTTCGGTTCAGGAGAACCGAGGGGGTGCTGTACGGCTATTCACTATAGCCCGTACAGCTCCCGAACCTGGCCGAGCGGCTCAGTCGAGCCGAACGCATATGCATCGGCTTGGCTGAGCCGCGCTGAAAGCCGAAGCTGGCCGGCTGACAGCCTGCTTCTGACAGTTGGGCGGAGCCAGCCGCAATCTTACTGCAGGTTCCGGCCACTTGCAGAGAGATCAGCGTCCCTGGTTACCTGCTAACCAGGGACACTGACCTCCAAACAGCTAACTCTCCCTGTCGCCCCGGGAGTCTCCCGCTCCCGGCCGCCCTGGAGAGAAACACTGCCGTGTCCTTTTTTTTTTTTATTCTGACACGGAGCCGTGTCAGAATAGAAAAAAAAAAATGTTTGCCCATTGGAATGCATTGCTAGATTCCTATTGGCTATTTCAATTTGCAATAGCCAATAGTAAACTAGCA